TTTCTTTGATTTGTAAGATTCTGTGAAGATATATCCAGAATACATTTTTCATTGTTTGCAGGAATCCAGGTAGCACTCCTGAGTGGCTGGGAAGTTTGATACTTGCTGTTTTTGTTGCTGTCATCTTGTGTCTGAAATCTGTCTATCTATTGTCCTATCTTCATCTCTCAGGTCTTTTCTCTAGTTGATATATTTATCTTTTTGTAGTGCATGACGTGTAGGCATTGTTGATACCACTTCTAAAGTGAGTCCACCATCTAGATATCTTTTTAACAGACTATTAGAAACAAACATTTTAACGTTGTTGAGTCTTTTGTTGGCATAATTTTCTTCTTCTTTTTCTTTGTTTTTGTTTTTTTTTGCACGGGCGGGGGGTGTTGGTTAGGGAAGAGCCTTCTAATCAAGGTTGATCCTAAGTAAACTATGACAGGAGAACTTTTTGTGCTGGGGACACTATTATACAAACAGTGGTCTCTACAAACAGTGGTCTCTCTGTTTTTCAACTGTCTCTTACATTTTCAATATTTGGTAAGAAATAATTTTATTAATGGAACAAAGTTACAGTAACAAAAATTGATAAAGGATCCTACACACAACCTAGGAGATTATAGAGAGGCTTGGTGTGAATGCCAAAACAAGAGATATCTCGTTAACAAGGGCATAAAATATTTTTAAATGATGGCTGTCAACAACCGGGCAAAGGAACCCTGCCACCAAAATGCAACACCCAATCAATTGTTTCCCCCAAAACTAATCCTGTCACCAAAACCAAACCTGAAAACAATCTCATTAAACCAGTACTGAGGCTGGAAGTGAAAATAAATGTAGGACCTCTAGAGCTCGTTTAGTAACGTTCTTGTTTCTTGTTTTACGTTTCCAATTTTCTTAAGAAATCTAAGTATTTTGCAACTAATGTTTCTTGTTTCTTCTTTTTTTAGAACACTTTCAAAATTGTATAGAAATTTTGGAAACAACCAAAACAAGTTTCTTTCTTTATTGTTTCCATTTCCAATTTGTTCCAAAACATAAATAAAAAGATTGTTTTATCATACTTGAATTCAATGGATGTTGGGGTCATGCAACTTTATTAAAAATGAAGAAATAGAAACGTTACCAAATGGGCCCCTAGCAACTGCCACGACCATCACCCGTTTGCTGTCAATTACATGGTGCCATAAACTAAAAGGCTTGGGAATCTACAACTATTTGCCAAATTCAGCAGTGTTTTCTTGACCTCCAATCAACCATGCAATCTAGGCAACAGACAGTGGGTCCAATTAATCCGCAGTGTGACCCTTCCTCTTCCATCCCTCTTCTCAAAAGAATTGCCTTGACCTGGAGATTTCATCAACTTTCCTTTACAGATAGTAGTAGAAACCAAGATGATTTGAGCATGTCCTTCAATTGCTCTTGATTCTTGTATTAATATTTTCTTCAGCTCGTCATCAGATTTTTGGACTGTTATCATTAGGCAGTTTCAATCTACTTAGTATCAGTTGTATAATTGTGGTGTAGGAGCAAAAAGATCAATAGTATTTGCAACTTGCCTTCTGTTTGGCCTTTCACTTGCCGCTGTGATGTCTGGCATCGTCCCACCATTTACTGATGACACTGCCAGAGCTGTAAATGTAAGTTTTTTGGCACCTCTTCTATTCTGTCTTTCCCTTGATCAAATTGTAACTTCTGTTCACTTATTATTCTTTTTCGGGCGATTGAATTGCCCGAACATACTAAGCTTCACATCATTTTGTAAAAGGAGTTCCCTGCATTATACAACTCAATTATTATTTCATTGATCAAACATTATCACATTGTTATATCATTTGAGGGAACTTAAGGCTATGCTTCTGTACTGATGAACACTTTTTGGAACGCTTAAGAAACAAACTGCAGACCAAGAAAAGATAACAAAAATTGGCTTCAAGACAACTCATTCTTATATTATGGGAAAGTATTAGTTTCTTAACTTGAGATTATGTTTACCCATAGTGATTTAGGACACAGGGACGTTGAATTAGAGAAATAGAGAGGAAAGGTTAGCAGCACGAAAATAGGAAAAAAGAAGGGATCTCGATGCTTCAATTTGCTAGCTATGATGAAATTTCGCATGTGGGTGGAATTGACTAGCTCTAGCTGTAACTAAATGGTTTGAGATGACCCAGTCAATAGATTAGTTGATGGGCATTTTGCAATACTTGCTCTGCTTATATAGTTGGAATAATGTAGCATAAGAGAGTTTGCTGTTATAATTCTAAAAGAATTATTGTCGCAGGTTGTCCATGTCGTAGACACAACAGAAAAATATGGTGGAAAGCAAGATCCTATTTCATATGTATCTCTATTCTCTACCACTCCCGGAAAGTTGAAGAAGGAGATTGAACATATCAAAGAGGGATTTACATGCGGGACAGATAAAACTATTGATTTTGTTACCTTCTCTGTCAAATATGGTTGTTGGACGCATGATGATGGTGAAGATGGGTGGGACGAGTCCGATATTCCCTCGCTTCTTGTTGAAAGTGATGTTAGCAGCAATGGAAGAATTACAAATATTTTAATTGATACAAAGGGTTCTACACGTTGGTCTCTTGGTATCAACACTGATGAAATCGAAGATTTCAAGTTTAAAGGTAATGAACAATTGATAAATGTTTATTATTTCCTTAGTTCTGTTCCATACTTCTATGTCATTTATACTTATATCAGTTTTTAATGCTGACTATGTTATAGGTCTAAGCTTAACATGAACAGGAACACAAACCTTACTTTAACAGGAGGATCTGTGTGTCTTCGAGTTCTAAAGAGATTAAAGGCTTATTATCTTGTAGATCAAAATGCTGAAAATGGAAGGATTGTCAGGCCTGTTTGGAGTGCTTTTACCAGAAATATTTTTATCAAAATTGCTTTTATTATAAAAGAGAAATTACAAAAATGAAAACAATTAAATTTTTTTAAAAAATGACATAAGTGAGAGAAATTGTGTGCAGAGAGAGATTAGAGAGAGAATTTGTATGCATAGAGAAGACTAGTAAGAGATTGTGTGAAGAGAGATGAGATATTAGGTGAGAAAGTATAAGCATGGAGGGAGGCTAAGTGCGGGTAGAGAAATTCTGAGCAGAAAGATAGACTGAGCTACAACTTCCTATGCTATGGGCTCCCTGACAACGACAGAGGAACCAACCCACCTGTTGTGGCGGGTGGCTTTTTTGTTTCACAATAAGAGACCTGGACGATTATCCCTACCCTTCGTAGCCTACAAGTTTACGTCCATCCTTGGTCGGGTAGCACTCAATTTTTCCAATTCGGCAGTTCGATCAGTAATTGAAAGTTAGTAAGAGAAAATGGGTATGAAGAGAGATCTGTAAGAGGTGTGAGGGAGAAGTTAGTGAGAGAAAGTGAGTAGAGAGAGAAAATAGTGCAAGAAAGTGCACACACAGTAATTAGGGGAAATGTGTGATGAAGGGTTAAAGACAGAGGAGCTAAGCTAAAAACACTATTTTTTTTTTTTAATTACTAGGAGTTTGAGCTTTGCTCCCCTATTCCCAGGGGTACCCGCACCAGACTCAAGGTTCGAACTCGGGATACATCAAGGATTTTTTGTATTAAACTCATTAAAAGGTTCAAATTTGAGACCTCTAAGCTACTAGGATCAAGAGACCTCAAGCTTTTGCCAACTGAGCTGCCTAGCCCATTGGGGGCTAAAAACACTCTATTAATAATACGTTAATGACTCGTCTGAAAAACACTTTTGAATTTGTAGTCAAATATAATATTCAAGTTACTTGTACTTTTAACTGTTTAAAAGTATTTTCGCCTTACCTAAAAACACTCTCGAACATGCCTTTATTCTCTTTCGTGCAGGCGAAGAGGAACTGGTTCCAGTTGGCGATAAGAGCAGTGTGAATGGGTGGTATACTATTCAATTTTCAGGAGGGAGGGACGCACCCAAAAGTTTTGTTCTAACTCTGTTTTGGAAAAAGAACTCCACGAGGTTGGTACAGAGTAGCAGAGTTCAGCCTCCACTTCTAAAGCTGCGAACTGATTTCAACAGATTAACTCCAAAAGCAGAGAGGATAATTTCAAAGCTTCCTTCATGGTGCTCCCTATTTGGCAAGTCTACTTCTCCTTTCACCTTGGCTTTCTTAGCTGCTCTTCCTGTTGATATCTAGATGCTAGAAAGCATGTTTGCAAAAGAAATAGTTTGTTGTTTCATATTTTTTTTATGGTACATAGTACGTTCATACATTTTTTCCTTTACTTTTACTTTTTCCGATTCAGTAATATTATAACTGTGGGGAATTTCTGATTCGAGAAAGTTATCAATGTTTTAATAAGTTGAACTATGTTTAGAGTGGCCAGTAGATTTATACTGACATGAAAGAATTAGTTGGTTTTTTTATCATCATTGTTTGGCTCAAAATGACATGAAAAACTATGTATTGAATTTATTGATTATATGCTTTGTGTCTTATTATTTTGAGCCAATGTTCAAGTAGCATATGGTTTATGGTCAACCACCTGTCCCTACCACTCATTCTCTCAAAGTCCTTTGTTATTTATATTGGCCTTCATTGACCACTTGAGCCATCCCACGATTGTTGAGTAGGTTGATTATTTTATTTTCATGAATTTCAAAACACCACCATTTATGTTCAAAATATATATATATATATATATATATATATATATATATATATATATATATTTGACGCTGGTTCATTTTAGTTATATAATTTTGGAATTGTTTATTTTGGCAGTTGTACTTTGAAAAAGTGATATTTTCGTTCTTATTTACAAATTTGTTATAAAATAAAAATGATTCAATACAAATTTATGTCACATTTTAAGAAATTTCATAAGTGATACTAAAATTTTGATGAGACAAAAATAAATTGGACAACAAATATTTCAAAATAGAACTAATATTTAAACCATGTTAATTTACTAAAATAACCCCTGTTGGTGGGCGTACAAATAATGAAATTTAGGTAGTGGATGCCCATTATTTAGAAGCATGTGCAGTGCAGCAACTGTTGCGTGTGACTTCAGGCTCTAGCCCTATACACGACTAGACCTGAGACCACCATGTCCTTGCTATTTGACCACTCCCAAAATTTAATGGAGAATTTCATATATAAATTGCTTTTAAATTTGAAACTTAACAGTTCCTATTATCACAAGAAATGCATCTGCATCTGTCTATTATTGTTGAAATAATTAAAAGCTCATCTCTAATGTACTTCTCTAGAAACTAATTTTGACCTCGAATACTTTGAATTTGAAATAACTTTTAAGAGTAGGGCTTATCAATTTTTATTATATAGTTTGATACTATGAGAATTAAAAAA